GTTGGTTCACCCTCCAATGACCACTATGGCCGGCATGCCGTGCTGAGCCGATGGCAGGAGCCAGGTACTTATCCTGGTCTCCCATGGGGTGCAGGGCCCAAGCACTTGGGCCATCCTCCACTGCACTCCTTGGCCACAGCAGAGAGCTGGCCTGGAAGAGGGTAACCGGGACAGAATCCGGCGCCGCGACCGGGACTAGAACCCGCTGTGCCGGCGCCACAAGGCGGAGGATTAGCCTAGTGAGCCGCGGCGCCGGCCGGTTATATTTTCATACTCCACTGTAAATTTCATCCTTAAGGTTAATCCAGCTCAACCTTGTTTCAGAGCTGAAGCTGCTGAATGCAGTTCGGTTGAATTACTGTTTGAGGTAGAGGCAGTGATGAGACTAGCCATTGGACCTTTTGGTCACTCAATAGATTTCCTGAGCGCCAGCTTTGCCAGGTCCTCACACTTCCATTCTATATTGAGGAGACTGGAAATAATCAAGGTATTTGAATAAATGAAAAATATGCAGTGTGTCCCATATATTATTTTGCATTATGCAGAATGTGGGAAAAATGCCATCAAGAAAAACAAAGCAAGACATTTTAAATAAAGCGATCAAGGAAGGCCCTGGCTTGACAGTGATATTTGAACAAAGGAGGTGAGGCAATAAACCATGGGGATATATTGAAGGAACAGGAAGTGTATTGGCCCTGGGGTTGGGGTATGCCTGAGATGTTTGAGGAACAACAGGATGCCAAAGTTGATGTCTAGAATAATAGGAGGTGAGAGTCCATGAGCGTAGACAGGAGTGCAGAACATATCAGGTGAGAACTGTTGGAAGGTTTTGAGTGATAGTATTTTAAGAGGATTTTCTGTGCTGTTGGATTGAAAAATAAATGTAAGGGGACAGGGATGGAAGCATTGTGGCAGGCAAGAAGATCATGGCACTAATCCAGGAGCAGAATGACCATAGCTCCCACCCCAGGAGGTTGGCAGTGAAGGTAGAGAGGTGTCAGGATCATGATAGTTGGAATGTTATGCTTGTGTTAATTCATTCTGATATCACGTAATGTGGCATATTTATTATTTTAGGGATCTGGTTAGAGAAGATACAAAGTTATGTAAAAGCCAGTTCCTAACCCCAGTGTGCTCAATTTTATGGAAAAGACAAGTATTAAAAAATATACTAAGAGCATTGCAATGTGTTTCAGCAAGCATGTGACAGAAATACATCCAAGGTACAGAAGCAGACCCCAAAAACGAAAGGCAGGTGGGAAGGGCTTTTTTGAGGAGCTCTATTTTAAATAAAGAACAAGAGTTTTATAGGCTTTCTTCCTAGATGAAGGAAACAGCAAGATTTGTGGAGCAGTGTAAGCTATTGTATTGTTCATTTCTGTTTTACTCTTGGTGATACAGTAGATTCAAAGTATCAAAGCAAGAATTCCCTGCCCACCATCCTATGCCCCAAGTAGTCTTGCATAGCCCAGCAGGATTTGTGGTTTAAGATCTGTCTTGGGGGAAGAGTTCCAGACAGAGGGAATAGCTGTGTGTAAACATTCTAAAGTACAAACTTGCTTTGTGTGTTAAAGAATACAAGGGGACTAGAGAGGCTCACCTTCCAAGATAAAGAGCCAGCAGAGACACAGATGCCTCATAGTCAATGGGATGGAGGGTGGAGCCTTCAGAGATTCATCTCGAGTTTTTCCCAGGGGAGGGAGAATAACTTTCATACCTTGAAATGAAGAGAGAAGTGACTAAGACAGGTTAGGTAGCTTCTTAGTGTTTGAGAGAGGAGTGTGAGGATTTCCTTAAGTACAGGATATGAAGCCCCCATGTGGTGGGGAAGGCTATTTGGGTGTTAATATGGACGTGGTGGCACTCCTAGTTGTCCGAGGAGCAATGGCTGAGCTCCTCTGTGGCCAGTCCTGAGGAACATGGAGAGCAGCTCTGTGAGAGACTGTAGAGGGTGGTGGTGAAGATCAAGAACTCTGGTCTTGGGCTGATGAGTCCCACCTACCCATCCTGGGCAAGTCACTTAATTTCTGTGCCTCAGCTTCCCCAACTTCAACATGCAGCAGGTACAGATTGAATATAGGGGAAGAAAAGTGATTTGCCCTCTGCCTTTCAAAGTTCTCAGCTAGAGCCCCTGTAACAAAAGACAGACTAACAAGAGGAAAAACAAATACATTTATTAACGTGGGCGTTGCATCTGAGAGAACACTCAGGAATGAGAGCCAGCTTTTTGTTCCCTAACACAGAACAATGCATTTTTAAAGTCACAAGACAAAGGAAGACCTTGAGTCTCTAGGAGCAAAAATTGTAGGAAGGCAAATGTTTGGGACACCAATGGTAGATAAAGGCTAGTTAGTCAAGTTTGTTATGCTAATCCTTCTGGTGCCACCTCCACATTGTGAGTCTAAGATCTTCTGGATCTCATAATTGATTTTTGTCCTCCCTGATAGAAATGTGAGGAGGGACACCTCTAAATATATGTCTTGCTTTTAGGCTAATAGGGGAGGGTAGTTTTTTGTTGTTGTTGTTTGTTTTGTTTTGTTTTGTTTTGTATCTCCTTCTCAGTCTTTAGCTCAGAATAATTTAATGTGGCATATTTGGGGGAGGCATATTCTGTTACCCTTCAAGTCTCTACCTTACAAGATTGCTATGAGGAATAGGTAAATTAATAAATGCAACATTTTTTGAACACTGGCTAGTGCAGGGTCAGGCTCTATAAGGATGTGCCAGTATTTCTATTACTATTCCCTCCCGTAGCCGATGGAGAGCGTTGACAGAAGCACTAAGAAGACAAAATCACAGTAAAGGCAGCCATGTGGACTAGGAGTGAGGGTGAGGTTTCTTCCCACTGTGAGGCCTGGGGTTCTTCTAGAAGTCAGTGAAGGGAGGTGACCACTGGCCAAAACTGCATTCCCTGGGATTTGATTACTCACCAACTCTGGTAAAGAAAGGCTAAGGCAGTTTTAATTTGAACTAGAAAAATAAAGAAATGTGGTATTTCTCCAATGCATCATAAAGCAAATCCTTCCTGGTTATGTGTACTTAGGGAACTATAAGCAGCTATAAATTGCTGAAAGATAGATTCTGAGGTGGGGCTAGGTGGCAACTAATGGTGAAAAGGGGGGCAGGGATCACATCAGGATAGACCTTAAATGCCCTTCTAATGGCCTCGGCCTTTACTCTCTGGATGCTGGGGAGCCAGAGGATTTTTACACAGAGGTGACATAATCCGATTTAGATCTTTAATAACTTTGTTGGCAGCAGGAACATAGATGTAAAATTGTCAAGACTAGAGAAAAAAGGTGATCAGTTAAAAGGCTGTTGCAACAATTCTGAGGGGAAAGATCAGGGACCCAGATTAAGATACTGACAGCAGGGATAAAGAGGAGGCTATAGGGACAAGCATTTGGAGCAGTGGTCAAGATGCTGCTTGGGATGCCTGCTTCCCATACCAGAGTGCCTGGGTTCAAGTCTCAGCTCTGCTTCTGCTGATACACACTGTTGGAGGTAGCAGGTGATCGTTCCAGTACTTGGATACCTGCCACCTGTTTGGGGAAATCTGGCTTGAGTTCCAGGCTCCTGGCTACAGCCTGACCCAGCTCTGGTTATTGTGAGCATTTGGAGAGTGAACCAGAGGATGGGAGCTCTATCTCTCTCCCTCTCTCTGTCTCTCCTCCCTCTCTCCCTCCCCTCTCCTTCTCCCTTTTCCTCTCCCTCTCCCTCTGTTTCTCGGCCTCTCAAATTAAGAGAAGACAATGGATTTGGAACTTTTAGATGACTCAGGCCTGATACTGCATGTGGTGAAGTCAGGCTTCTGGCTTTGGATACTGGGAATCCAAGATAAAGAACAGGTTTGGGGATGATAATGGGTGAAATTTGCTCCTGTTAAGGTCGAGATGCCAGTGTCCAAGTGGAGGGCCAATTTTGGCCAAGTAGAGGTTTGGGAGGCATAAGGATAGAGGTGAGTAGGGATGGAGTGGAATTGCTTCAAGCAATGCAATAAAGGGAAAAGAGACAGAAGCACCAAAGGCTCAGGTGAGGATCCCTGAGAAGAAAGGGCAGATGGACAGACCACAGGGAAGGGGTAGCTGCTGAGGAAGAGGGAGGGAGTTTCCAGAGCATTTATGATTAAATTCAGAGACTTAAGGACCTGAGGACATTGGTGGGCGCCTTCCGTTCTATTGACAGAACAAGGTATTTAACTTGGTCAGATCCAGAAAGGGACAAGAAGAATGGATGGAGAGCAAGTTGGCCATCATGTTGCTAATGGTTCTATTTTTTTTTTTTTTAAGGGAAAGAGTTTATTGGGGGAAACCCTACAGACTGGAGGGAAGGGGCGGAGAAGGAAAAGAGGGAGAAGAGAGCATTAAGAGAGAGATCAAGAGATAGAGAGATCAGGAGACAAAGAAAAAGAGAGAGCGAGCCACATGTTCAGGAACAGGTCCTTTTAAAACTTTGCAGAGGGGGGATGGGCGGGCAGGGAAGTAGGAGCAGCGGATCCCATTAGGATGGGGGTGGGGCTGACACCAGTGGTTGGGCCATGTGGCCACCTGGCTTCCAGCAATGGCGGCAGGGGGGCTAGAGCCCAGGATGGTGTCAGGGTGTAGATTGCGCCATAGATAAGACTGAGCCATTTTACTAACATTGCCCCCTTTTGTTTTTTATAAAGCAGGAGTTGTATGGGATTACATTAGTTCCAAAAGTCCAGGAAGGGTAGTGGGACAATGATCTGTCTTTAGAGCTACTTCCTGCTGACATGGGGCGACGAGGTACTCTTTGCTGGCATGGGGCGATGTCTCAAGCTGCTGTCTCCTGGGTGGGGAGCTGAATGGTTCTGTTTTAAAATGACAATAGTTAAGAAAAAGAAATTATTCAAGTGAAGAATGAAAAATGAAATAGGAGTAGAGTGACATTCAGCAGTTGAGTGTGAAGCTAATGAATCAGTTGTTTGCCCCTTTACTTTCGTATGAGATAGGTGAAAACACTCCTGATATTTCTTCCAGGTGGAGAGGTACCCATGGACCATTCCACCGGGCTTCTGCTGCTCCTACACCTGTTCCTCCCCACAGAAGGAGAGACCCACCTGGTGGTGAGTTCTGGGGAGAACCGGGGCACACCTGGCTTGACCTCTTTTCCTTCTTGGAACAAACTCTCTGTAATTCAACCAGATCTTCATGGATGACTTAGAACTGCTGGAAGGTGTCCAGGTTCCCACCACCTTCTAATCACGGGCTTTCAGTAGCTTGTGAGCAGTGGAAGAAATTGAGTGCCCCAGATAATGGTCCCCCAGATAAGTGGTGATCTTCATGCTGCCGAGAGGGAAAGCTATTGTGAGGCTAAATCTTTTGTTTTTTTTTTGGCCTTGTGTTCCTAAGGACCATGTCCTCTCTGTGGTCTCATTTTGGCTCTTGGTTGTTGACTGTGCAAGCTCTGGCCTTTTGTTTAGACTCCCAGCACTCAAACACGGGCTTTACCTATAAAGAGGTGGTAGATTTTATTTAAAAATCACAAGAGAAAGAGGAACCCTTAATATAGAGAAAAGATGCTGCGTCAACTTGTGTTGCAGTAGAAAAACAAAATTCAGTGGACTTTTTGCACACTGGAAGGCCAGGAGGGGCAGCTGAAGAGGTCTACATCTGACCTGTATCTGTGTCTCAGAATCAGGTTTGCTCAGGAAGTCAAGCAGGGCCTGGAGTGGTTTGCAAAATATACTTCAGTCTTACTGTAGACTAGGAGTACTAGAGGAATGAAAACCAGGGAAAACAAACTGTAGGAAGAGAGAGTTCCCTTAGATGAAAGTTGAGGTAATCCTAGGCACACCAAACAGATATGAGAAAAGAATGATAATGTATTCAAGGCTAGGGAAAGATATATACAACGTTAAATTTCATTCAGATCTACCTGTTCTGAAAGGAAGTACTAAAAACGGGGAGAGATTCATTCAGAAACCATGCATCGCATGTCTGAGTGCTTTTCCTATGCCAGGCACTGATCTTGGGAAGTAGAAATACACATTGTGAATAGAAAACATGAAGAGTCTATCTGTAGGGTGGGTATCTGGCACAGTAGTTAAGACACTATGTGGGACATCCACATCCTGCATCAAGAGTGCCTGGATGCGAGTCCCAGCTCTACTTAGGATTCTAGCTTCCCACTGATGTGCCCCTTGGGAGACAGTCAGCAATGGCTCAGTTATTTGTGTCCCTGCCACCCATGTGGAAGACCTGTTTTAAGTTCTGGACACTTGGCATTGGCTTGGACTATCCCCAGCCATTGCAGACATTTGGGGAGTGAACCAGCAAATGTAAACTTAATCCATCACTCTGCCTTTCAAATAAAGAAAATAAATAATAAATAAATAATAAATTAATTTAATTTAAAATTAAAAAAAGTGAAAAGGCCATGTATTATATAGTATAAATATTTAAAAACATTTTTATCTCTGTAGATGTTATATCTTAGCACTTAAAGCAGACAACAAACATAATTTAGAAACATAATACAGTATATTAGAAAATGATGAGTTACAGAAATGATGTCAAGGTAGAGGGGATTCACCATTGCTAGGTGGGATGGGGTGACTGTGGTCAAGTTGGGTCTTACGGAGAGGTTTTATCTAAGACTTGATTGAAGTGAGGTAGTGAATAAGTGAATTAAGGGGAATAGCATTAGGAGTCAAAGGAACCGCATATGCAAAGCCCCGAGGCAGCAGTGTGTCTGGTATGTTTGATGAAGAGCAAGAAGGCCAGGGAAGTGGTGGCAGAGGCAGCAGCGGGGGAATAGCAGGAGATAGCTTTCGAGATGTAATAAGGGCCATGTGGTGGAGCTTTGTCAAGATTGTTGTAAGGACTTTGCTGTTTGAGTGACATGGGATGCAGTGAAGGGTTTGTGAACACAGTAGTGGCATCAACTGGCTCAGGTCATTACGGGGTTTCTCTAGCCACTCTGCAGGGCACTGGCGGTGGCTGAGGGCGTCTGGCCATTGCTGTGGGATTCCAGGAGAGGACTGAAGTGGCTCAGACCAGACAGTGGCAGTGGAGCTTAGTCAGTGTCTGGGACTGCTTTAAAGGTAGAGCCATTAGGACACTTATTGTAGTTTGTGAGAGAAAGAAAAGAGTCAGGAATGAACTGAGAGTTTTGTCCTCAGCTACTGGAAAGATGGAGCTAAGAGTTATTTTAGTTATTATTAGATCAAAAACAGTGACTGGAGCTCACCGTGACTGGAGGAGGAAAGCAGGATCTTAGAGTTTACTAGGATGAATGACTGCAACCAGCAGCACCCGTGTCGAGAAAAGCACTAATAAGTACCCCCTAAAAGTTACAGAGTACACCTGTCCCTCTGACCCAGGAATTTTGACAGCTACACTAACTGACTACAGATGCTCGGACTGATTGAGGCAGGAAGACCAGGAAGAAACGTGAAAAATCCTCAGGGGATTCCCAAGTGAATTGCAAGGTGGTATGGTGTGTCTTAGGCCTTTTGTGCTGCTGTAACAAAATAGCTGAGATTGGATCGTTGATAAGAGCAGAGATTTATTTCTCTCAGTTCTGGAGGTTCGGAAGTCCAAGAGCAAGGAGCTTTCAGGTCTGGCGTCTAATGAAAGCCTGGTCTCGGCTTCCAGGAAGCTGGTTTGTTGCTGGCGCCTTCTGATCAGCCACTGCTTTCATCTTAGAGGACAGAGAGTAGAAGGCAAAAGGGGCCTAATTTTCTCAAGCCCTTTTATGATGTGACTAATCTCACTCATGAGAGAAAAGTCCCTTTCAGGTGCCACCTCTTTTTTTTTTTTTTTAAAGATTTATTTATTTGGCCAGTGCCGTGACTCACTTGGCTAATCCTCTGCCTGTGGCGCTGGCACCCCGGGTTCTAGTCCCGGTCGGGGTGCCGGATTCTGTCCCCATTGCTCCTCTTCCAGTCTAGCTCTCTGCTGTGGCCCAGGAGGGCAGCGGAGGATGGCCCAAGTGCTTGGGCCCTGCACCCGCATGGGAGACCAGGAGGAAGCACCTGGCTCCTGGCTTCGGATCGGCACAGCACACCAGCCAAAGTAACCATTTGGGGGGGTGAACCAATGGAAAGGAAGACCTTTCTCTCTGTCTCTCTCTCTCTCTTTCACTAAATCTGTCCAAAAAAAAAAAAAAGATTTTTTTATTTGATAGAGTTACAGAGAGAGGAGAGACAGAGGGAGAGATCTTCCATCTGCTGGTTCACTCCCTAAATGGCCACAACAGTTGGGGCTGGGCCTAGCTGAAGCCAGGAGCCAGGAACTTCTTCTAGGTCTCCCATGTAGGGGCCCAAATAATTGGGCCATCTGCTGCTGTTTTCCCAAGCCATTAGCAGGGGGCTGTATTGGAAGTGGAGCAGCCTGGACATGAACTGTTGCCCATACGGGATGCTAATATTGCAGGTGGTTGCTTTACTTGCTATGCCCCAAAGGCACACAACCCTCCCCCCCAACCACCCAGCTCTTTTTTTTAAACAGATTTATTTGTTTACCCGTTTCAGAATGGTGCAGAGGGAGAGATCAATCTTCCATTTGCTGGTTCACTCCCCAAATGCCTGCAACAGCTTGGGCTTAGCCAGGCTGAAGCCAGGGACCTGGATCTCCATCTGGATCTCTTTGTAGCAAGGGCCCAAATACTTGGCTTATCATCTGCTGCTTTCCCAGGAAAGTTGGACTGGAAGCTGAGTCTGAAGCAAGCTCTCTGGTATTGGATGTGGGCCATAATAGCCATCCAAGGCCCCACCTCTTAACACTACCATGTTGGGGTTTCAGTTCCAACATAGGAGTTTTTGGAGGATCACAAATATTCAAAACATGGCATGGTGGTGGTGGGGTCACACACCCAAGAGATGTTTTGGATTAGTGGTAAGCATGGCACCTCGAAGAGGAGACATATTAATGGGGAACCAACTTGGATGTTGATATATGGAGTCTGAGTCTAGGTTATATGTTGGTCTCATAGGGACATACATCCTGGTTGTTACAATTCAATTAAGAAAAGCAAAGACAGAGAAGATAGGATTTGTTTAAACAAAGAAATTTACTGGGGCCAGCACTGTGGTGTGGCGGGTGAAGCCAGCGCCTGCAGTGCTGGCATCTCACGTGGGCAATGGTTTGAGCCCCAGCTGCTCCATTTCTGATCCAGCTGTCTGCTGTGGCCTAGGAAAGCGATGGAAGATGGTCTAGGTCCTTGGACCCCTGTGGGAGGACCTGGAGGAAGCTCCTGGCTCCTGGCTTCAGATTGACACAGCTCCAACAGTTGTGGCCAGTTGGGGAGTGAACCAGCGGATGGAGGACCCCTCTCTCTCTTTGCCTCTCCTTCTCTTTGTGTGTAGCTCTGACTTTCAAATAAATAAACATATTTTTTGGCATCTTTTTTTTTTATTTAGTAAATATAAATTTCCAAAGTACAGTTTATGGATTACAATGGCTCCCCCCCAATAATTTCCCTCCCACTCGCACCCCTTCCATCTCCCGCTCCCTCTCCCATTCCATTCACATCAAGATTCATTTTCACTTCTCTTTATATACAGAAGATCGATTTAGTATATATTAAGTAAAGATTTCATGAGTTTGCACCCACACAAAACACAAAGTGTAAAATACTGTTTCAGTACTAGTTATAGCATTACTTCACATTGGACAGCACATTGACAGGTTCCACATGAGAAGTAAGTACACAGTGACTCCTGTTGTTGATTTAACAAACTGACACTCTTGTTTATGGCATCAGTAATCTCCCTAGGCTCTCGTCATGAGTTGCCAAGGCTGTGGAAGCCTTTTGAGTTCGCCGACTTCGATCTTATTCCAACAGGGTCATAGTCAAAGTGGAAGTTCTCTCCTCCCTTCAGAGAAAGGTACCTCCTTCTTTGATGGCCCCGTTCTTTCCACTGGGATCTCACTCGCAGAGATCTTTCATTCAGATTTTTTTTTTAAAGAAGTTTACTGGTAGTCTCAGAGTTCATGGACTCAATGGTGTTCTCTCTCCCTATGGGAGACCTAATGAGACTCACTAGAAGAGCATGTTAAGAAAACAAAGGGACAGTACAAGGAGAAGAGACATTGAGTTCCAACACACAGCACTGGTATT